TTCAATTGAGTATTACAATATGATATATATAATTTGGTCACAATCAACTCCAAGATTGTAGGGACCTAATTTTGAAAGAAAAAAATTTATCTAAGGACACAACCTCATAATGTAGAACTACGGATGCACCTCAAAAATCCATCGAAAAAGGTAGTTTTAATGTTGAAAAACCCTTCTCGACATCGAGATGTATGACCATGAAAAATAAAACGATTTTAAATCTCAAAAATAGTGCATTTTACAACATATTATCTACACTGTCCATTTTCAAGATTTTCATATGTTTATAGATCTACTTGATTTTAAACATTTTTTAAACTTAAAATTTTATAATTAGATATAAAAATAGATTTTGAGATAATCCTAAGAACATTTTACATCAAAAGTATATACCATGATAAAATTTGAAGGTGCACCTTACCTCTACAGCTACGGATGCATCCGTATATCAATTACACCCTTTTTGGAATGTACAACAAACTATCCAAATCTATAGGAAATACAATTAGTGATGTCAGTTATAATCTACAATTATAATCTACAACTATATAGAAAATACAACATGTGATATTAATCTCAATTCACAGTTACGATATTTTAATATAACAATCCCAGTTGCCCAATACTCCCCCTCAAGTTGGCACATGAAGATCTGTAACGCCCAACTTGCTACGAAGAAATTGAAATTGCTCGCGATTTAATGCTTTGGGGAGAATGACAGTGACTTGATGCTTAGTAGAGACGTGAGAGGTTTTGAGAATGCCTGAATGGATTTTTTCTCGGATAAGATGATAATCGAGTTCTATATGCTTAGTTCGTTGGTGAAACACGGGGTTGGCAATGATGTGGAGAGCAGCCTGGTTGCCACAGTATAGGTGCATTGGATGATGGTGAGGTACACCGAGGTCCCGAAGTAAGGTTTTGAGCCACACGAGGTCAAATGTAGCTACAACCATGGCACGATACTTAGCTTCAGCTGAACATCGTGATGCTGCTGGTTGCTTCCATAATAGTGGACATGCACCAAGGGAAGTAAAATAACGTGTAGTCAAACTTTGGGTCATGGGGCAGGTGGCCCAATCGGAATCACAGTGAGCTATTAACCGGAATGAGGAATTGGATGGTAAACAGAGTCCAAATGAAGATGTGGCTTTGAGATATCAAAGTACACGAAGAGCAACCATGTAATGGGGTTGCCGAGGACTATGCATAAATTGGCCAAGGATATGGATCAGATATAATATATCAAGTCTTGTGATAGTGAGATAAATTAACCGTCCCACTAGACGTTGATATCGACTAGGATCATGAAGGAGATCGTCATCAGTGGCAGTTAGACGAATGTATTGGTCCATGGGAAAAACAATGGGTTTTTTACCCATGAGTCCAACTTCCACCAAAATATCAAAACCATATTTTTTTTATAAATAAAGATTCATCTTTGGGAACGGGCGACTTCTATTCCCAGAAAAATTTTAAGACTCCCAAATCCTTGATATGAAATTTGGAGTGAAGGAACCATTTTAACAGCAAAATGAATTTGTTGTTGTTGCCAATGACGATAATATCATCAACATAAACCAGAAGAATACTAAAAGTCTTTCCAACAGTTAAGGTGAATAGAGAATAATCTGCAACAAATTGAATAAAACCAACAGATTGCAAAGTGGAAGAAAACTTGTCAAACCATTGCCGAGAGGCTTGCTTGAGCCCATATAATGATTTGTTAAGTCGACAAACTCGAGTATCTCCCTTTCGAGCAAACCCTGGTGGAATTTGCATGTCAACCTCCTCATGCAAATCGCCATACAAGAAAGCATTGTGCACATCGAGCTGATAGAGGGGCCATCCTCTTATGTATGCGACACACAGCACAGTGACTAGCTTTGCAACTGGTGCAAATGTCCATGTGTATATCATTTGGCTACAAGGCGAGTTTTGCACCATTCAACGGTTCCATTGGCCATGTATTTGATTTTATATACGTACTTGCATCCAATGGGTTTCTTGCAAGGAGGCATAGGCTGTAATGTCCAAGTATTGTTTTGTTGTAATGCATCAATTCCAGAGATCGTTCTATCAATGAAACTTAATTTATTTTTTATACTTAAGTCTTTCTAAATCGCTCGTCTCCAAATAGAATAATTATCACCAACTAAAGGGTTCCTAACCAAAATGATACCTAGATTGTCTGAATGGTGTAAATAGAAATGGTGAAGAAACTGTGACAATCTCGTTCGATGTATCAATTGCATCTTTGTCTCCATTGTTTGCTATTTGAATGAGCTAAAACTCACTTGTGCACAAAACCAACAATCAAAATCTTGCTCGTGCACCAAGAACTCGGACAAAAACTTGCACAGACTCGTGCACAAACCTGCAATCACCGACTACACACAAACTTGCACAAACTCGTGCATGATGTGTAAAAAAGAAGAAGAAACAGCAACAGAACACGAAATCTTCTAGAGAGAGAAACAAAGAAAGAGGATTAAGTAGAGAGAGAAAGAGTTTGCAACCCAGCCGTAAACAAAACGGCACCACTGTTGCGTGCTAGTGATTTCAGTAACGAGAGAGAGAGAGAGAGAGAGAGAGAGAGAGAGAGAATATCAACATAAACCAAATAAGTACTGTAATATGTGTCTCTAAACGTCTAGATTTGATCATTGATAATCAAAATATTGGATGGTTTTCTAGTTTGTATTGTTTTTTATCTTTTAAGTTGGGTCACTAGGTTGAGTAAGTCATATCCCCAAAATTTGAAGTCCCAACCATCTTTCAAAAATATGTTTTTGAGATGTACTTTGGACCTAAAATTTTACAGTAAGTAATCTCAATTACCACAATCATGAATCAAAAGCTTTTAGATTTTGAACATTAAACATAGCCCATTTCAAACTTTACTTTCAAACTATTATTTCATTGCTCTTTTTCAATATTTGCATATCATTGAATATATATCGTTTCTTGAGCTACAAAATTATAAATCAAACATGATACTTTGATTGGAATTTCATATATTAAATCAATCTTTGGTATAGATTTCATAACCAAATTATTTTGCAATCTAGTGAGGAGTTTTATCATCACCATCGAAGCCTTTTTGCATCTTGCGATGAGTTTCAACTTCATCATCATCGTCGTCAAAACCTTTTCGTATCTTATGAAGAGTTTCAACCCTTTCAAATAATATTTGCAAAGAAATAACATTACTCCTAGGTTGCTTGTTCAAATGACCTTTTTGCAACCACGAGATCATTGAGCTTCATCCTTGCCTGCCTCTTCTGCTCGTCGACAACGCCACGCCTGCAACTAGACACGGATACATCATCTCCTTATTTATCATTCATGCCCACTTTCCGCACTTCAAATATGCAACAACTTAATTGTCTTGCCCAAAAAGGGCATAGGAGATCAATATTAAAAAGGAAATCCACCATACACCATCGTAAGGCCCTGGCCCTAGTTCCTTGTAGGACCGTTTGAAAGCCACCCGGACTTGACAGGGCCGAAGAGGTCCTGACCCAGCTTCGGCCCTCTTTTGGTCAAGACAATTTTAATGAAATAAATAAAAAATTATAAAAAAAAGGGCTAGGCCTCTCCAAACCGAGACATATCTATTGTGGACCTGGCCTAAGCCCAAGCTGACCCCATCCTTGGGTTGCATTTTATGGCCTAGAGCCTAGTTTGTTTGGGCTGGGCCAACTGACCTATTGCCAACCCTAACATTATGGTATATGCAATTTTACATCTCACTTACCTATGTCTAAAGCTGACAACGGGCCGTGCCCTAGCTTGGCCCTATTCTCTTGAGGGTCGGCTCAGACCCAGCCTTGGCCGTGTCAAGGCCGTGCCAGGTAAAATTGAAAAAAAGACAACACAAAAAAAATGAGAAAAAAAAAAAAGCCACGCTGAGGCCCTTGGGCCACATTTTGTGATCAGTCTAGCATGTACTTGGCAGGGCCCATTTAGCCCACCTCACTAAGACTCTACAAGGATATGGCCTGGTTTTGGCCAAATCCCAATCGAGGCCTAACCCGTTGAGAAGCTTGGGCTAGAACAACGGTTAGGTGACTTGTGTATGTGCATTTTGGAGAACGTTTAAAACATCTTACACGTGTCAATCTATATATCAGTCACGCGCCAAGACAATGATTATATCTCTCTATAAAGAGTAATAATCCTATAAGACCCTCCCACACTCATGTGTGTAAGACCCCAAAGGATCACCATTAAATTTGGCACAGATCTCTAGAAAAGTTATCACATGGTTGTAGGACTTAACTTTTCTAGAGATCTGTGTCAAATTTAACGGTGATCCTTAAAGGTCCTATACACATGGATGTGGGAGGGTCTCACAATGTCATTGCCCCTCTATAAAATGGAGCCACCTTAAAATTGTTCCAATGGTTTAGGACTGTGATTTGTATAGAGCCGAGGCTCTAAACAACCAAGGTAGAGCGTACCTTCAAATAGTATTGATAAATTTGGTTTCAATATTGAAATCTTTGTGATATCCTTAAAATATATTTTTATCTCTAATTATAAAATTGAAAGCTTTAAAAAAATAGTATAAAAAAAGAACTTGAAAATATTAAAATTAACAGTTCAAAAATACATTACAAGATATCTGCCGACTCATGCAACACTCTTTCTAATTTAAATGGGTTTATTCCAGTTCTATTTTATAGTGTTTTAATTTTTGTTTTGGAGAAAATATTTATTTTAAAAAATATCTTCTGACTGCCTGATCACTTTAAACTTATTTTTTAACTTAAACAAATGTGTTAAAGACATTATTTCTAAACTCAGTCACCGATCCAAATCGGTTTTTGAGGTGCCCGATCCGTGTCACCGATCCGCTTTTTAATCCATTGCCTCAAACATATCTTTAATTTAAAAACCTTGGGTCTACCATATAAAAATAGACGGCGCGGAATTTTCCCTTTATTTTATTGCCCTCCATTTTAGGCCGCAGGATTTGGAGGTTCTAAGCTTCTTTTTTAAAATCACAGTAAGTCGTCCCTCCTATCGTTAATGGCTTTATCCTGCCACTTCATTTGTCCATTCCTCGCATGTCGTTTCCCTTTTATATGCTTTTCTGATTACGAACGTCGGAATCCTTCATTTTCCGGCAAGTACTGGTTTTCCGGGGAATTCCGCGGCGGATCTGTGCTCAAATTTCGCTCTAAATGGTTGCAAAATAAGATGTCTTCACCGATTGATATTCAGATGCTTGTTGCCTCTTTTAGATCGGATGCTGGTGAAGCGAAAAGGAGCTTGCAGGAATCTGCTGAATTTCCGGGAACTGGTGAGATGGTATTAGGATTTGGGTTTGTTATTGTGATGTATAGGGAATGGAACTTTTTATTGTTTGGTGGAATTAGGGTTTTGATGTTTTTGTTGTTTTCGTGCCTTGGCATGGTTTAGTTTGAGTTTCTTCGTGGGTATTGGGTACACATTGTTTTGTGGTATCCAGTTAAAATTTATATCTGTCTGTTAATCTCTTTCTCTCTCTCTCCCTAGTGCACACATTTTTTACCAATATTTTTATTGGGTCTGGATGATTGGCGAACAATCTCTCTCTCTCTCTCTCTCTCTCTCTCTCTATCTATCTATCTATCTATCGATTAATTATGTGCAGCGCTCATTGTTATCGCTTGAATATTATCCGTGTAATTTTGCAGCAATCTGCTTCTTTGTTTTGTGAGAAACCTTTGCGTCATTTTACTTCATGCGTCATATCTGAAACTTAGGAAGCCTCATGTAGTATCCAATTAACACTAATCTGTGTGTGTGTGTGTGCGCATGCAAGCGTGCGTGCAATTCTTCATGTTACCGTTATGGGCTTCGGATAATTGTGGAAACATTTTCTCTTTCAGCAATTAGTGAAAATTAATTTTGTGGTGTTTGGATAATTATAGAAACCGTGGCTAATTATGGAATTCTTCTCTGTGATTGTTTACTGATATCGGGGTGATTTTGCAAGAAATTTGTGACCATTGTTGTCAGGTTCCACAACAAGGCTACTTGCTTCCTCTTTATTGTACTGACCATTTTAGTTGCATTTGCTGTTTTCTAATAACTGAATACTGCTTAATTCAAATTTATGTTGATGCAGGTGCAACAACATCAAGGGACCAGATGGTTATGGGAAAGAGGGAGTCATCAAAGAAAGATATAGAAGGGAAATCGTACTCCCATGGTGAGAGTGTTCCGCGCAAAGCCAGATATGTGATGGGCACTATAAAATGTTTTGGGGTTGATATGACCCCAGAAACCATTGCAATTGCCATGGTGTATTTTGTACAAGGAGTATTAGGCCTTTCCAGGCTTGCTGTGAGTTTCTATTTAAAAGATGACCTTCATCTTGATCCTGCTGAGGTGAGCACTTTCTGTTCAATCTGTTATTCATTTGTAAGCAATATATGTGTTGTATGTTATATTTGTTAGTGTGAATATGATGACCACACGATTCAGTACAGTAGGTAGCATTTAGGTGGTTAAATAAGATGTAGAATAGGAAATTTGTGTAGTCCTTGTTGTTTTTTTGGAAACTGTTTTTTATGGTTGATCTTTTAGTTGGTTTATTTTCATAAGTCTGAGTACCTGGAATGTTCATAAGAGTATTTGATGGGTGATATTTCTAATTCATACTAAATGTATTGAAATTCATTTGAAATGAACTTGCCGCGATTGAATGTAAAGACTTCTTAGTTTTCAAAATTAAGAACAACCATCTTGCGAAACAATTGAAACGTCAACATTTGAAGCTCTAACATGATTGTCAGTGAAACTTTCATGTTATCCACTATCACTTAAAGAAGACACATATGCTGGTCCCTAAACATCCACATGGATTAGAGAGGGGCATCCACTGGTTTGCGGAGACATGGATGTTATATCGGAAGATCGAATACACTGGCATTGGTTTTTATAGTTTTTCAAGAGGAAGGCGTAGCCACCAAGGATATGGATGTTATACTATGTCATAATAGGGTCTCGAGTGTGCTCATAAATGTGTACAACCAGATCTCTTATTTTGAATCTTCATAATGAGCTTTTTTCAGAACATGTTTTTCTGAAGACAGAAAAAGATCACATTGATTAAGTGTGTTTGTTCTTTTTTTATATAGGTTCATGATGAGCTTTTTTCAGAACATGTTTTTCTGAAGACAGAAAAGGAGCACATTGATTAAGTGTGTTTGTTCTTTTTCTTATATAGGGGAATGTTTTATTTTAATTTAGGCACATAAAATTATTTGGCGAGTTTAGAGAAAAATTCGACATCTTTCAACCAGAACGAACAATAAGAATTGGGAAAGCCACTGCCTATTGCGACCAAGCATTGTTAGAATATTGAATCATGCTCTGAAAGAACCATTGTCAATAGATGATCATGCCATACTACTGAGAATCTTGAATTAATTGTCTATGTGAGAGATAATTTAATGTGTGAAATGAGACTTCGAAAAAAAATTGGGGCATTTGTATGTGGTTAAATCGAATTACCATTTGGTTCTTTATCCATGTTGTTGGACGCATTAAAAACATTTTCTTTATAACTTGGGCTAGAAGACGTTCTAGTGAAATTTTAAGGCGTAATACTTTTAATATGTCATGTGACTAAAAAAGAAGCATTTGAGGTGGACGATCAGGGAAGCATTTGAGGTGGACGATCAGGGGCTTTGTGTGCTTAGAATTCAGTGGTACAACAGTGCTTCCAAACTTCTGTATTTAATTCCTAGCAGTTCTATTGATTGGTTAAAGGGGAATGCTCAAAAAGACATGGAAGTAGTGATGAGAGATATGTGTCGTATTGTCTGATTGAGGGTATGACCCTTGATAGAGCGGAATAGCGGAACATGATTCGTGTAACCGACCCCAATAGTTGGCATAAGGCTCAGATGATGATGATAATGGTTAAAGGGATGCTTCTTCCATCTTATCTTCCACTTTCCTAGTTATGGAGGGAGCAATGTTACCAAATGTAATATGCAGAAGATGATGGTAGAAAGGTCAGAGAAATTCAGCTTATCCTTTGCATCTTTTTGAGGAAAAAGATAGGGAGGCATCATCATCTACTGTTGGCATAGAGTGATAAGACATTCTGGTCAGAATCTTGCTTTATGTAGTTGATACGTTGGAGTTCTATCTTGTTCAAAATTTTGAAACTCTTATCTACTTGATAATTTTGGAGCCTTTGGTCTGATGGTAAACTTTTTGAAGAACCATGAATCCATGATTTGTTGGGGTAATGACATATTGCTACAGTTAAGATGAAGCTATTGAGCAATTAAGGCATGACATTTAATGGCGAAAGAAGTCAATAAATCTCCATCTGCCCTTGACCCATTCATTTTTTTTAATTAACTAATATGGACATGATGGAAGAGCAATGGGGATTGGTCCTGAAAATAACGTCAAAATACATTGCGATAAAATAAAATAACCATAAAAGGTTTTATGAGTAATAATTTGCAAACCCAAGTTGTGTGTAGGAGGTGAATGGAAAATAATTGCCTGTTATAAGTTTCCTAGTTTGGAAGTTCCAAGAAACTACCTATGTTTAAAATATTATAGTATTTTATAAGCGTGTGTATGTCTTACTGCTTATGTTTTGCACCATGCTTTATAAAGTTAACAGGTGGATAGTGAAAAAAAGTTCCCCAGAAAAATGAAACACAGAGAGAAGAAATAGAGAGGATTTTGATGCAGTTGAATGCTAAACATTTAAACAAAAAATACTATGGCATTCCATAAAATTTCCTTTTTTTGTCTCCCTACTGAGACCGTAATCGTTGGGAGCAGATTATAGGATCATTGCTTGCCCAAGTTCAGTAGTTAGGGAGTGCCATGGGAGCACCCACGATCCCACACAATCAATAATAGTAAAAGAATCCAAATAAGGAAAAAAGTTAATGTGTTTTTGATGCTCAAGTCTGCTTTAACTTTGGTTTAGAACATTTTTTTTAAATGCTAATGCAATATGCGGTCTGGAGCGCATCGCTCTAGGCTATAAATGTGGAGAAAGCCTACGTGCCTGCATATGCATGCATCACCTGTATATGCTGGCGCATCACATCATGAGTGATGCGCCCAATGCTAGTGGGCAGAAAGGATGCCTATAAGCATGGTTTAACACTGGTAACTGTTTTTTCGATAAGTTTCTTGTAGAAATGCTTGAAGGCTGGTAACTGCTTTAAATGGTGATAAATTCTATCTAATTTTAGCATTTGCCTCAAATATCATGGCGGCATTTTATTTTTTAGAAAGTAGCTAATTTTCTTTTGGCACATGAAGGTCACAATCACCTTTATCCGTTGATGTGAAATCAGTGGCTAAGGGTGTGGCATTGACCAAGCTCAAAGGCCGAAAAAATTTCTTGAACTTTGTGGCACACTTGTAGATGTCATATCTGACAGCTAGCGGTGAATGTGACTTTCATGTACCAAAGGTACAATCTTATAGTATACAGTACCCTTTCTTCTTTCTTTTTTTTTTTTTTCGATTTTTTTCATTTTAATGGTCAATAACTTTATCCCCTATTCTTTATTGTTAGAAGTTTAGCAGTATATGAAAATTATTTAGTATCATTTGTAATTTGTACTGATTGCTGCTTTAAGACATTGTAGCTGTACTTCAGGACAACATATGATTTACTACCTCTCAATAATTCTGTAATTTTATTTGTCTTATATATTGGCATATTTCCTTCTTTGTTGTTCAAAAATTTCGAGTACAAATATCTCTATAAGTCTTGAATACAGATTTGACTTCTTTGCAGTTTTCCATATATTATGGGAATGGAATGTGTGGCATTTGAGCAATTCAATTTTTTTATTTTTTTTTATTTCTCACAATAGATATAAAAGATAAGATTTAATACCCTTACAGCTGATGTATGGTTAGTTTAGACAGCGGTGATATCTGGTGTATCAGCATTTCCGTGGCTTATTAAACCTATTTATGGTTTTATCAGGTCTGAGTTTGGTTTTGTTGTCTCTTTCCAATTTTCTTTGAATATTATAACCTTATGTTTATATTCTTATGTGAGTTCCTGCTGTGGCAGTGACTCCTATGCACTTTTTGGTTACCGAAGGAGGTCATATCTTGTTCTTTCCGGGCTTCTAGGGGCAGTTTCATGGGGCTTGATGGCAACTTTGGTGAACAGTAAATATAATGCTGCTTTATGTATTCTTCTTGGCTCTCTTTCAGTTGCCTTTGCGGATGTTGTAAGTGCTAGAAGGAATTTTTCCATTTTATTTCAATGTCATACTTTTGAAATTTTACTTCTGCTGTTTCTGTTGTTTTGTTATCCTTGCATACATTGTTATATTGTTCTTTTGCAACATATAGCTTATGTGTATTTTTGGCATGAATTCAACCACCCTAAAAGTAGCAGTTATCTCCTCTCTTTTTTTGCAGTTTCTGCATGCTGCCACACGATTGGGGTGATCATCATTGTCATCTCTATGAACTGTGATGATGATTCTGTTGTTGTTATTTAAAATATTAAATGAAGTATGTCTCAAAAATTTCATGAGAACATGGATACTGTAGGTTGTATCGGTACTATATAAATCCTCTAAGTTAAATCTAAGTTTAAAAATTAAAACAACCAAGGTATTCTTTGATCTAGAAAAACTCATTCTCAGCTTCATTTTGTCGAAAACGACATGCTTGAGAAATGAGGATAGTTTTCTATTGGACATGGGTATGTGCGAACATGAGGTATGAGCCTTTGGGGAGGTTTCTAAAAGAATATATGACATGACTAGCTTTTCTAATACCTAAAAGAACATAATTGCACAAAGCTGATGGTTATTCATATGCCTATGTGAGAGGAAAACTAGTTTAATCTGATATATAACAAAAAAACAAAATTTCTCTGGATTGATTATATTCTTGGTATCTACTCCAGACATGACGTCATAGGCTGGAAATGTCTTTACATTCATTTTTTAACATTTTCCTGGTAATATTGCAGAGATTAATGGAGTTGGGAGCATTTTTTGATTGATTCTGTGTTGTAGGGGACCTTATTCTCTTTGATATGTAGTTATTGGAATCTGTGGCACTGTAATAACTGCAATATATTTTGGGAACCTTCTCTTTTTTATGATTTATGACTATCAATAAGAAAAAAGGGATTGTAGCATACAATGCTGAGGCTTATGTTATAGGTTGTAGATTCAATGGTGGTGGAAAGGGCTCGGGGTGAGTCACAAAATACATCTGGATCTCTTCAATCTTTATGCTGGGGATTTTCTGCTTTCGGTGGTATTGTGAGTGCATATTTTAGTGGCTCACTTGTGGATGAATATGGTGTAAGGTACGGTAGTAAAATTTGACTGTTAACTATTCGGTTATTACTTGTGGATGTTTAAATATTTTATTGACGCAGCCCATCAGTGTTGATATCTTCTGATGAATGTGTAGGTTTGTTTTTGGAATCACGTCATTTCTTCCTCTTATGACATCTGCGGTGGCTGTTCTTGTCAAAGAACAGCCTCAATATGACACTTTAAGAGGTCATAGTGTTTCTCAATCAGTTCAAGGCTTAGTGGAGAACTCGAGACAGCACATCTTACAGTTGTGGGTCACAGTCAAACAACCCAACATATTTTTGCCCACCTTATTTGTATTTTTATGGCAAGCAACTCCACAGTCTGATTCTGCCATGTTCTTCTTTATGTAAGTTGCTTTTATGTAGGGCCTCTTTATTGTTGAATTTTATAATGATATATTGCTGCTTGGATCAGTTTAATTTCTGAAAGGGTAGACAAGTGTTAACAGTTAGGTGTTTGTAAATGTCTTTTTTTTTTCTTTTCCATTTGTAAGTGGTAATTTGTGCAATCTGTCCTCTTTGAATGAGGTGGTTTTTGAAATGTGATTATGTTATATAGCCCACATATGTGCAAAGCAAAATATGAAATGTAGGAGAAGTGGAAAAATGGCAGAAGCACTTAGGTTCTAGAATACACATGTATAAAGAATAATAAAAGAGCAAATAAATTAATGCAGAGGGCAGAAGTTCTCTCCTTATGCGGGATGATGTAGTTAACATCCATGTTACCCTAGAGCCACCTTGTGTGTCTTGATAACTTGTTACTTGGAGGGCACCACAAAGAACTTTCTCTTGGATGAAGTGACAATTTTCGATGTGCTTTGTGTGGGCATGGTTCAAAGGCTTGCTAGCCGTATGTACTGCTCTAGAATTGTCATAATGCAATATAGTGGGCTGATAGAGGTTAATGCCAGAGCTAGATAGACGTTGAGTGATCAATTGATGGCAGGGATTTCGATGATAGCACAGTGAGCTGTGAGAAGAGCATAGCAGCTAGTGACTTGAGAGGAAAAAGCAGGGGGTTGTGACTTGTGAGTTGCTGCATTGAATTTGATTTCTTTATAGTGATAGCATGTGTAAGATGTTTGGTGCATGAAGTGTGGGTTGATCTATATCATCTTGAATTTTTTCTGCTTTCTCTTCCTTTAATTTTTTTTTTTTGAGAGAAAGTTAACATTCCCGTTTTGGTTATCCACGTGGTCTCTTTTCCCCAGCCAGGTAGGAGACCCGACAAATAAAAATCCACACACTAACTCTTCAACGCTTCAAGAGTACTATAAACTGGTACTTTCTTCTTTTATTTTAAAAATAATAAAGTCAACTCTTGTCCTACCAGTATTGGAAAGAAATCCATTTCCGCTTCTTCTGAATCTGCCCATTTTGGTTATCCACATGGTCTCTTTTCCCCAGCCAGGGTAGGAGACCCGACAAATAGAAATTCGCACAAACTAACTCTTCAAGAGTACTATAAACTGGTACTTGACTCTCCTGTGATAGTACATTCTCCCATAGTAAATTTTCCATCTATGCCAACCAAGACGCCGACAGCATTGTAGGCGCCAAGCCTTTTTTTCCTACATCACAAAGTAATAGTAGAGTTATAACAAATGCCTTCCTTTTTTGGAGTGCCTGGTGTTGAGTCATTTAAATGGGATATCATTTCTAATCATTTCTTACTGATTTGAAAGATTGAAAATGATGCATCGTTCCTTGTGATGATCTATAAAGAGGGAAAAAAATAAAAAAGTAAAATCAATACATCAATGTACATAATATTGCCCACAAGAAATTCAGTTAGAGGTATGCTTGAATTCATAACTCACATAAATATTTTAATGGATGGTAAACAATATTGTAATATCTTATTTTCTATTCACTTTGGTGTATGAGACACACCTTACTGGTATTTTGCTGCAAAGGATTTTATGGTCTTGCTTCATTGAGAGTTCTGTTGGGATTTTTTTGTCTAATCTTAACCGGTTTTGGACATTCTCGATACAGGATTTGTCAGCATGACATGCAGTGTATTTGGGTTATATTTTGTTTCTTTTACCTTCACTAAATATTGCCTTCTCGTTGTAAGTTTGCTATAGAAGTTTCAGAAACGTTTACCTCATGTATGTGGTAATCTATATTTCGTCTTAGTTCTTTCGTTGAAAACTCGCAATTTCCCTCTTGAGAAGTTGTACTTTGCCCAGGTGATTTTTTTCTCAAATGACTTGGTGCAATGGCAATACTGAGAACTAAAGTATGAGGGATGGATAATGAAAATGCATTCACTTTCGATTAAAAAAGCCAGAAATACATGTTTTTGTCGAAACTAAACCAAAATAGTTTCCGCTTTTCTTTATTTGATAAAACTCGCATGGCGTATTTCTAAATTGGTTAGAGGTATCTGTAGTTTTCTCTGAGAATACTCGATTGGTTTTAAGTCCTCTGAGAATGTCTATGATTCTCTGAAGTTGCAGAATATCAAGATGGGTATTGGGCCAGCTATGATCGTCTCGATTCCCCATTGCAAAAATGGGCATAGTTGGTAATATAAGGTCTGATAGAACCATTGAATTTGGAACATGAAATTAGTTGTGTGAAAATCCATAGCACTGTTTTCGTGTGACTCTCCCCTTGATTTTATCATGTAAAGGGCTTTTATCTATAATTGGACTTGAATGGTATTTCTTTTCCCATATCCCTCATTCAATTCTTATAAATTTGGATTTATTGTTCCTATGCTATAATTGGATATCTTTTTATCTTTTATTGCTTCTGATTTTGATTTAAAATTTTAATATTTAATGTCAATTTATGTAATGTATTTGTATTTCTTTTATTTTTATTGATATTGATGTTTCTTAACGTCTCCGTTTTCATATTATATTAAACTGAATTTCATGTTGGATCTGTTTTCTTTTTACCTTTTATTGCCTCTCATTTTCATTTAAAATTTTAATATATGATGTCAATTAATTACTTTTGTTGCTGGAGCAGTTAGGAACTTTCTAGGCATTTTATTTGAAGTTAGGGTGTTTATTTTTAAGTTGCATTTAATTGGGATTGTTTGAGTCATTTTAAGTTAGACAAAGGTCATTATGGGCTTTTTTGCTTAACTTATCACATGGAGGGTCAATTTCTTATTTATATGGACAATTAATGTCCTTTGAACAGTAAATAGAGACTATTTAAGAGGTGTGTGGGAGTCGTAGAGGCTATTCCACGTGATTTTCAGAATTGAAAGAGAAAGAAAAACTTAGTTTTTTGGAACCCTAGCTTGAATTAGGAGGAAACCCTAGGGTTCTCCAAGTTAGTGCTTATGTTTGGTTAGAAATTCTTGCTGTTTTTACTTTTTTCTCAAATTTCATGCATCAAGTTTCATTGCATTCTCAATGTGAGAGGAGAACAATTTGTGATAAGAAACTAACATATAATAAACTAACATGTAGGCCGTAATATCGTAAGCAAATGAATAATTGACTAGACCACTGATAAATCCATATAACTGGATCACGTTTTAGAATATGTGAAAGTCACCATGTGTGACAGGTTTGCTTCAACCCATGTATTGCCTTCTTAAGCCAAAGAACCTTAGTCTGTCTTTCTCCTCCTTAATATCTTGGTGGCTGCTCTGTATAAACTTCATCCTCTAGGTCACCATAGAGAAAAGCATTTTTAATATCAAGTTGTTATAGATGCCATCCATAGGTCACAACAATGATAAAATGATACAGTTAATTAGACTATGCTCCTGTGTGCATCCCTTGGCCAAATTGTTGCGTTGACCTGTTCTATGCTCCCATTAGCTTTGTATTTGATCTATACACCCATCTAGAACCAATCACAATATTTATGGGTTGGCCTATCAACAACTTCCCATGTGCCACGTGTGGGTCGTCGAGGTGGGATAGGAGAAACTTAATCACAGGAAGGTTAGGCAGAAGTAGTTGCTGCAATGCCTGAAGAAGAAGGTGGTCATGTGTGATCCATAAGAGCCACACTAGAAGGTGTAAGTGCCATGCCACCCTGGATTGATAGGTGATAGGTGGCGTTTGTTGCGGGGTATCAGGATGCGGCCACAGGCTATTGGGAAATGGATCACTATTGGGACCAGATGACCAATATTTGCACATGCAAACTAGGAGAAGAGTTCTAGCTGATGACACTGGAACAATAATGACATGTATGCTAATGGGGAATGCAAGTTTAGTAATACAAGGAGTAGAGACGAGGAAGTAGTAAAGATTGACGGCCAAAAAATACCAAAAGAATTAGAGCTGGGTGAGCGAAGTTGAGATGTGCAACCGGAATTTTATTTGATCGCCTCATACCAATGAAGCTGAAGGGCAAGTTCTATAGGACAATTGTGAGACTAGCTTCGCTCTATGGGGCCGAATATTAGGTAGTCAAAAACCAATATACTCATAGAATGATTGTAGCGGAGATGAGGATGTTGAGATGGATGAGTGGCAAGACAGGAAAGGATAGAATTCAAAATGAATAAATTTGGAAAACTTTAGGTGTGGCACCAATAGGCGATAAGATGAGAGAGTAGACTTAGATGGGACGGCCATGTGTGGCGCAAACCCAATACAACACCTATTAGGAAGTGCGAGTTAGTTCAAGTGGAAGGCTAAAAAAAGATAAGGGGTAGGCCCAAAAGGACATGGTTGGAAGTAGTAAGATAAGATATGGGGGCTTATAGCCTCACTGAGGGTATGACCCTTAATAGAGCAGAATGACGGACCGAGACTCGTGCAGCCGACCCCAATTAGTTGGGAAAAGGTTTTGACAATGATGTTGCTGATGGGAACAGAAGAATGCTGTTGATGTGGGAAGCTCTCATGATCTTGGAGGTGCAGATTGTGCTAGGGAAGTAGTGACATTTCATGTGTCAGTCATGTGCTTGGCTAGATGAACATGTTTAGTGGATGTCATGTTTGGGTTAGAGATGATTGATGGATAAATAGCACAGGGAGGTTGATTGCTTCCCACGATGACAGTGCTGTCTATCCAGTTCGGTATGAGGAAAGACGTCAAAGAATGCTTCTTGCAATATGTTGGGTTCATCACGTGGGAGGCCATTCACATGAAATGACTTATCATCGAAAACAGCATGCCTAAATACATGTATCCTGTTGGCTCTGGAGCTGAACATCTATAGCCTTCATGGTGCTCGTCATAGCCCATTGACATGCAAATTTCAGCTTTCAGGGCAATTTGTTGCATTGAAGGTTGTCAATATGGACATAATATATGCATCCAAAAGTTCTTAAACATGAATAATCACGATGGACTTCATGTTTGCAAAAATGGACTATCCCCCCCAAGTGCCTTGGATAGTATCCAGTTAATCAAGAATAACAGACCTAGGATACACCTCGTCCATAGGCCGGCTCTCAATCCACACAAATGCATCATGAAGAGGGTAATTTTGCCGATATGCTTGTGTTTTCGTTTGGCAATACCATTTGTGCAGGTGTGTGTAGGAAAGACTTTTGGTGTAGTTATCTTGTTATTGAGGAGAAATTTGGTAAAGACATCGGAACTGTATTCACCCACCATCACTTTCGGATATGAATGATTTTTCAAGAAAACATGTTTTGACATTGACATTGGGACTCTTACATACTCGACAACTTGGGCAGAAAGAATTTTCATTTGAGGACTTTTACAAGGATGACAATAGTCCTACATGTAGATTATCAAGTAAACCAAAATGACAATAAACCAAAGCAGCGATTTCACAAATTAGCCCCTTATTGGAGAAGTCAACACTTTAACACCAAAAAGAACTTTGAGGATCTCAAGGTTCACTCATTACATAGAGATTCCCATGTTTCTTCCCTTCATTGCATGTACTGTTCGAGTGAAGGTCCTTCATAAAAACAGACAATAGAGAAAAGGTAATGTAAGGATTTGACTGATCAGCAATTTGTGACACAAATCAGATTACATTTGATATGAGGTACAAGAAAAGAGTAATCATCCAAAACAAATGGATGCATCTCCTATGCGTGTGATAGGGTGGATCCTAATATCACTGATAACTACAATACCTTTTCCTCAACAAGGGGATAAATTAGATAGCTTATCCACATCACTTAGGACATGATTTGCTGTCTGAGTATCCAGGATCCCATCCTCATTAAAAAGAGGCTGCACATTAAGTTGTGACATAGCAGTTAGGGTTTCATGCTGGCCATGGTTAGAGGATGAAACACGTCGTAATGTGGACAAGAAGCTGATACACTAGTACATTCCTGCTGCATGGTTTGATGGCAACTTCACTTGCAGTAGGTTGGAAATTTGCTGGAGGAGGATGAGGAAAAGTCTGTGACCAGCCGCTACACGTTGATGTCCCTATTCCTATCCTCAATTGTTCCTTGCATGGTCGTGGACATGAGATTTCCCTTACGAAAGATTCAATAATTTTCGTTCTGATGGCATGTCCTTTTTGAGATGTGACTTGGAAGAGGAAAACATTGCTTCATGCTCAAATAATAAAGGTATGAGTTCATCAAAAGAGGGTGATGGAAAACGTGTGGTGACCAAAGTGATAAGCATGTGAATTCTGGTCAGGTCCAAGTAATGTTTGCATTACCTTATCCTGTACCCAGAATTTACGATAACAGCCAGCTGGTTCATGAGTACCATAATCTTGTTAAGATACTCATTGGTGAAGACCGGGCCATGGATGGTATTGTAAACGTAAGTGTGGACTTGTGTGTAATGCTCCCATAGTTCCAAGGCAGTGCAACTATCGTGTGGTTGAAGCAACACTTCTTGTCAACCGTGGAGGTGATGTATGCAACCAAAGTTTGACCATTCTTAATCCTTGAGACAGTTTGTATTTTGTATTGCCATGTTCATGCTGTCACCATACTCTTATCTTGTTCCTTGCTGTCACTATTCTCATTATTTCTTCACAAGGTATTCCAACGGCATAGGATCTTATCCATCAAGATGTCCCATAAGATCATGTGCTCAATTAAACGGGGTGATTTGTCTTTTCCAATCCTGGAAATTAGTAGCATCAAGTTTGTTTGAAATGACTTGAGACAAGAATGATGGGTTTATAGAAGTTGCAAGATTGGGGTTTAAAGATTAGGAAATAGAGAGTTTTTATTAGGTTTTTGAGAAAGAGAAGTAGAAAGAGTTTTAGTTTCTTTTTTCTTTTTTTTTGGTGGAGGGAAATATAGAGGTGCAAGAATAGGGTTTCAAGAGTAGTGAAGAGAGAGATTTTGAGGGAGCTTAAATTTCTTTTTAAAGAGGAAGCTTTTGGTTTTTGAGGGAGTTTCAATTTGTTTTTGAGCGAGACATGTCGATAGAATTCTGGTGTGTATATCTACACGCACACACACACACATACATATGCACACACGTACAAATGAATTGGGGTTGGTCATATTACCTGACTACCCTTTCAGAGACTGCTCATATACATACGAATGAATATTATGAAAGTTACATCCTTGTCCTCAGCTCACACTTTTGTTCTTAGCATGGAGTTGGTTGCTGGAGAGGTGGGATGACAAGGGAGACAGCAATGGCAGGGGTGCACAGTTGACCAGAAATGTGCCTTTTTTTTTTTTTCTGTGCTTCTTTGTTTTGGTGTCATAATCAGAAAATAAATGGAGAGGGAGTCATTTATGTGCTGTTGAGGAGGTAGAAATTTTTTTGTGGTCATAATGGAGTGAGTTGGACGCATAACCAGGAATGAGAATTCTTAGCCCTCCTCTTTGGGTGATTCCATGCATCTGAATGTACGCCTCCAATAGTTAGTCACTTGTGGTACCCTTCTTACGAGAAATGATACACTGTGTAATGCTTATGCGTACATCACTTACCATTTTTAATGCATGAACTATAGAGGTACTGCAGGAATCTGTATATGCTGAGGAAGCGAAGAGGTTGCAGTCTGGATTTATAATTGTGCTAAGAAATTTGTAGAACCTGTTTTCATTAATCACCTTTCATAGCTTCGTAGTTGACTTCTTGTTCTTTTGTTGGGCTTTAATGTGGCTTGAGAATTATATACTTCTCTTAATGGTATCTATTAGTTGCTCCAGTTTGTTCATTTTTTCTGTCTTAAGATTTTTTTGTATTTTGTCCTTCCTCTATTTTTAGTAGTCAACATGAATTGCTCACCATAATGTTTTCAGCACAAACAAACTTGGTTTCACTCCAGAATTCTTAGGTCGAGTCAAGCTTGTAACTTCGGTGGCGTCCCTTCTGGGTGTTGCTCTTTATAATGGATTGCTCAAAAACATTCCCTTGAGAAAGATCTTTTTCTGGACAACCATTATAGGTGCAGGTCTTGGGATGACACAGGTATCTGTAGTGAAATGTTTGGACTTGTGGCATCCTAGCTTGCACTTCTTTTCTTAAGTTCACTTTTTCTTAATTATTTTGAAATGCTCAGGTATTGCTTGTTACTGGACTAAATCGACAGTTGGGTATCAATGATGAGTGGTTTGCTATTGGAGATTCTTTGATTCTAACTGTTCTCAGTCAGGTAAAGTTCTGAATTATTTGTCATATGAGATAAGTTTTATGGGTTTTTTCACCTAAGTTCTAAAGCTGCAGTTTCTAATTTCTAATTAAAAACACTTCTCTGGTTCAAATTGGGCTTTTCCATGAAAGTTATGACTGTTTGATTTCAATTTTTTTGTTAAATGCTCTTTTTCTTTTTGTAATTGGCCAAATGGCAATTTGGTCAATTATCATTTTCTTCTTAGGGGTGTTTGATTTCTTCAATTGAATTCCAATTTGTTATTATGAGGTGTGATGGTGGTGGTGGTTATGGTGGAAGAGCAATGTGGTGGCAGCCAGTGCGGTAGTGATGGTGTTGGCTAGGTTGTGGTGTTGGTGGAGGCCGTGTGGTGTGGCTAAGTGGTGGTGGTGGTCGTGGAGTGAGTAGTGTAGTGGTGGTAGTGGGGAGGTGGTGTACTGGTGTAATGAGAGAGAGAGAGAGATTTTTCAAGGAAGGGAGGTGTTTTTTGGTGGGGGGGGGGGGGGGGTGGTGTGTGTGTATTGTGTTCTACGAAGAGAAAAGTGAACTTCTTAAAGCCGACAGTGCTTCTTCAATATGTTGCTTGCCACTAGTTTGTGTTTCTGGTATAATATTTGTTTAACTGTATGTGAGCCTTAGCATGATTAACAGTTTCTGACCACTACTTGTGTTTAAAAGCATTAGATCTTTACCGTTGGGTGCATATTCTGGCATTAAAGGTGGCAATCACTTAACACACAGAAAACCTGGGATCGTGGAGTCTGGGATCACCATTATTACAGGCCATAATCTAAATATTTATAGTTAGAAGTATGATAGAATCAAGTCAAATCACTGCGAAATTTATATTTTAACTGTGAAATTTATATTCTAACTCTGGTCATGCGGATCCCTGATTAATGCCTGGTGCTTGTGTTTTTATTTTTATTTTATTTTTTAATTTGAAATGATTGGACCTAAAGTCTGCAACTTATGTGGTAGTTTTTTTATTTTATTTTAAGCTTCCTTGAACTATATGATCCATTTCTCTAATATATATATACACACACACACATATATGGGTATTAAAACTCATTGTTTCTTTTTTTTTCTCCTGATGGCTGATAATCAGTAGACTTTGTATGCGACTCATGAGTTCCTGCAAATTTTTTGCAGGCATCATTCATGCCAGTACTGGTATTAGCTGCAAGATTATGTCCACAAGGTATGGAAGCCACTCTTTTTGCCACTCTGATGTCCATCTCCAATGGAGGCAGCGTAGCTGGGGGCCTTATTGGTGCTGTTCTCACTCAACTTTTTGGGATCACAAAGGATAGCTTCTCAAACCTTCCAATGTTGATAGTTCTTTGCAACCTGAGCTCCTTGCTTCCTCTACCTCTCCTTGGGCTCCTACCCAATGATGATGCGGATGCTGCCTCATCAGGTAGCGGTGAAAATTCTCTTGGCAACATAGAGGATCCAAAGGCAAACTAAGCAGACAGGTAAAACAGTGTCTAGTTTGCTTAATTGCAGTCTCTCTTCTTTCTTTCTCTCTCTGTCTCCCTCTTATGCATGCACCACCTTGAATATTCTCTCACTCAATCTCATGATTGAATGTCCATGAACTCTGTCTTTGTCATGACCGTGAATTTTCACATGCAAAATCTCCAATGACTGTACATGGGCAAGTTTTCTCTCTCTCCCGTCATATTTGCACAAACACAAACATTCTTTCATGCAAACCCCACCCATGGGGTCTCTCTCTCTCTCAGAAGTCTTTGGGTCGATTTTCAGGGGCATGAATGCGATTCCTGTGGACTTAGCTATGGCAAGTTGCAGCCCTGCTAGAACGGTCTCCAATCTCTTGACAATCACAGTCGCCGCCTTCGAATATGATGCCCCTTGAAGCTCAAAATCAGGCATGAGCACAGGACAAGTGTCTCATATACCATCTCGAGTGCACTGATAACAGGTGATGGATACCAAATGATTCTTGTGCACTCATCAAACTAATCACACCTACCTTTCTCATTGTTCCACTTCTTGGACCTGACCTCACTTTCATTTTATAAACATGAGAATATTCTCATACATGGGCTGCTTGTTTTTTGCTCCCAAAGACAAAATCGTACCTTCCACTTCAAATAAAGAAAGGAGAAAACAAAAAATAAATGGAGAGCACCTTATGTGCATGGCAAGTTCTCATTGGTTTGCTTTCCCGGTACACGTGGCAATTTCCGATTGGATGTTTCTAATGCTGGCTTACCCTCTTTCTCTAGTAAATACCATAAATCAGAAAATAAAGGAAAATCTTGGTTTGGCAACAAGTATGAGAGAGGCCCCCACCTCAAGTCCATACAGGGCACCCCCTCTCTTTGATATGTTTTTTTGCATGATGATTTGCCATTCCACATGGTAGGCCCCACCACATCCATTGTCCATGTGTAATGTCTCGGAGGCCCTCACCATGACCAAGGTCTCAACATGTGCATGTACCCATATGTTGAATATATGCATGCATACTTTCTATGCCCTCACCATGACCAAGGTCTCAACATGTGCATGTACCCATATGTTGAATATATGCATGCATACTTTCTATGCACATACGAGCATTGTATTCCAGTGCATTGACACATGTTATACTTACCAGTAAGTATGTATGTATGATGCATTCATCTTGGGGTCATTGGTGGGATGCGTTGGCATTCATTCTCGAAGGTCCAAAGGCCATCTGCATTCTTTAATGCGAGAACATGACAAACTCTTCCCTTTTTTGAGCATTTATAGTACCAAAAAGTTTTTGCCCTAATTATGGATGTGAGGGGGCTCAGGGAGATGGCATATATCCTTATCGCAATCCATGTTACAATGACATGCTGAGGATCCAATACCATTGGCGTGTCAAACTGATGCTGGTTCCCATGTCCGTTGTTTCGGGCCGCTCGTCGTGCTTATTCATGGTGGTGTTCCTCTTTCTAAATTAAACCTAGTGGTGTTCCTCTTTCTAAATTAAACCTATAAATTGCATTTTTGTGGTAGTTGATATATACAGTTACAAAGAGGTTGATGCACATATATAGTGGACTTTTTAGGATGTGTATGAGAGAGAGAGAAAGAGAGTAGTTAAGTAGCCCTCGAAGTGTGGCCTTGATGGAGCGTGAAATCATTTTGTGCGTGTGTGATGTAGGGTTCTCATAACACTTAGCTTGCGGAATTGGGAATCCCAAACGTTGGGATCCCACCCAAGTTCGTGTACATGATTGACTATATACGAAGTAGATGAATACAACTATAAATCGAATGTGAGAAATAAAACAAACTTAAAAAACACACGACAACAACACATGATTTACATAGTTCACTCTGTAGGGTTATATCCAATGGTTTAAAAAATGGATCGGTGATCCGGATCGGGCTTCCAAAAAACCGATCCGGACCGGCGAATCGGCGATTCGGATCGGGAATCGGGTGAATCGGTCATAATAAAGCTTAAAAAAAATTCGAAAAAATTATTAAAATTCATTATAAATATTGTTTTTTAAGAATTCAATAAAAAATGAGGGTACTTCATTAAGAATTTTTATGTTTTTGAATGAATATGCGAATATTGATATGTTCTTTCCTGCATGAACCGTCATTCAGCATTTAATTTACAGTATTTTATGCTCATCCCTAC